GCGCCGAGCCACGGGCTGAGCCGCGATCTGGGCGCGCGCCGAGCCGCGTGCTGAGCTGCGCCGTTTTCCTCCGCCGGCTCGGCTGGCTTGGTTGCTGACGTATTAGGCACTGTTTGTTTTGTTTTTAACTGAATCGCGTTAAAGGTCATAATTAATTCATACATATTTGTTTTATGCGTGGCTTGTACTGTTAGACTCAGAATTAATTTCTACATTCTGTAAAATTTGAAAATTTCAGAAAAAATAAAATATTTTTCTGTGTTAATAATTCATGTTTTATGCTTTAAAATGCTTCTGGTATTGCATAAATAATTTTCTGGGGTTGAAATATATTATGTAGAACTTCTGAAAGGTTTATTATTACTAGTAAATATGTCTCATTTTATCAGTTTCTAGATTTTTTATTTCTAATTTATAGTGTATTTATTAGTCATTTAAAATTCCAGAATTATTCAGAAAAATTTCAGAATATTTCAGAATGATGTACATATTAATTATGGCATAATCTGAAATTGTTTATGATATATTTTTTTATGTTCATTAATGTTTTTTTTAATACCATAAATGGTTTTATTTTGAAAAATAGAGTCCGGCAGTACAAAAAATTGGACTAGAAAACACCTTGGAAGGCGGCGCGTGGTCTGCACGCGCTGCCTTCCAGGGTGTTTTCTGGTCTGATTTTTGTACTGCCGGACTCCTTTTTTCAAAATAAAACTATTTATGGTATGAAAAAAGACATTAATGAACATAAAAAATATATTTATGCTCCTAATCTGATAAAAGTAATTTTTTTTTCTTCTCTACAAATATTCATGTGTATAATGTATACATATACATATAAAAGTATACACATGATTAAAGGAAACACGAAAATATCCATCAAACATGCTCTGATATCAATGTAAATCAAAGTATAAAACATGCAGTGGATAAAATGTTTAGATCATACATTTTTGATGATAGAACCTCGTGGATAAATCACGTGCTTCCAGAGTCTGATAAACTAACCCAACAGTGAAGTGATATCACAGATTGAATATCACCCACACAAATCATAGTGCAAATGACTTGATCGTTGTTTTTGGGAGAGAGTCAGTATATGGGTAGAAAACAGATCATACGTTGTTTTTTTCTTGATCACCCATAACCCATATTCCAGATATATATATGTAAATCAAAGTATAAAACATGCAGCGGATAAAATGTTTAGATCATACCTTTTTGATGATAGAACCTCGTGGATAAATCACGTGCTTCCAGAGTCTGATAAACCAACCCAGCAGTGAAGTGATATCACAGATTGAATAGCACCCACACAAATCACAGTGCAAATGACTTGATCATTGTTTTTGGGAGAGAGTCAGTATATGGGTAGAAAACAGATCATACGTTGTTTTTTTCTTGATCACCCATAACCCATATTCCAGATATATAATATGTTATTATTATCTATCCATATCAGTTAAAAATGATAATATCTGTATCCTGAGTGGTTATCCTAAATAGGTTTGAATTCAATTTCAAAACCTATTTGGATAAGGTTCAAATTCAAATTCAAATGGTCATGCCACATGGGCGCCCATTACTAACAATGTCAAATTAATAGGACAACATGATACAGACGCAAGCATAACACCCCTCGCTGACTGGTGTGATCCCCTTGACCTCAGAGGAGTTGTCGGTCAAGGTGCTTAAGCCAAGGTCAGGTTATGTGAAAGGACTCAATATGAGGCCTTCTTCTTCTATGAATATAACTGTTGGACCTGCTGAAAATAGTGACTATGTTCAATGCCTTGAGATACAAATAACACATCAAAATGAACAAATTGCAAGGTTTCAAAAGTCAAAGAAAAAACATAGAGTGTTTGAGACAAAAAGGTATCATGAGAAATTTTGAGAGTGGGGAAAGTTTAGATTATGATGGACAAGCTTCTTGGTTAGTATATTATGTTTCTATGTTAATTAGTAGAAAATTTCTTCTTCAACTATGGTAGAATAAAAAAGCTACTTTGACATTTAGGCGCGAAAGGTCCCGGGAAAATAGTGAAATATGCATGTGAAGGCCCAGGAAACATCACAAACACCTTGAGACAGAGCAACATAAGTTGTGCAAACTTACGAAAGAAGCACGTGGCTCCCGATTTGAAAACTAAGTAAAAAAATGCACTTTTCCAACACTTAGCCTTGAAAACAGGCCTTCGGGGGCCAAAATTGTGTAACAGGCACGAGAAGACTCGGGGAACACCCTAAACACCTTGGGAGGGACCAATGTAAGTTGTGGAAACTTACGGAACTAGTACGGGACTCCTAGTTTGAAAACTAAGTCAAAAAATTCACTTTTTTCACATTTATGCTTAAGAATAGGCCATCGGGGGCCAAAATTGTGTAACAATCATGAGAAGGCTTGGGGAACACCACCAACACCTCGAGAGGGACCAACATAAGTTTTGAAAACTTACGGAACTAGCACGAGACTTCCGGTAAACGAAATTGCTCTGGCTAAGGGTAGCTCTTAGAACTGTCAATAAGAATTACATGGTCATTTTTTTAAAAAAATTCTCAATATGCATTATATATATCTCAAAATAGTTTTAGACTGTTTTGATTAGTTTCTCCCAACATATTTCCACTCCTTATTTTGAGTGTCTTGTTTGTTTAGAGTTTTTCAAAATTAATTCTATACTTACTTTTGAAAATTATTTCCAAGGCAAGAAAATTTGGGCTAACCGGTCGTTCTCTCATATGTCCGGCCGGTTGACCGGAACAGTGCTAACTTTTTATTTTTTTTTTATATTTTTACAATTGGCACTGTTATTTTTTATATTTAAAATAAAAAAATTCAGAATTTTTAAATTTTTTTTATGAGTTTTGAGTAGAATTTTTAGTTGTGTAATTGGTTATGAGTTGTAAGTTTTGCATCAAATTTCATATGCCACATCAAAAATTCCCCACTCAATTCAAAACTCTTTTCAAAACTCTTTCACCAAACAAATTTTCCATACTCAAATCATAATTCCAAAACTCACAAACTCAAAATACAACTCCTACTCTCTGATCATAGTTAGAAAGCTTTACGAAACGCAACCATACTTTTCCAATACCTAGGCTTGAAAAATATTAAATTGTATATTTCATTGATAAGATAATAATTATCTTCCCTTTTTTTTTTTTTTTTTTAATTTTGTTTTGTTGCAAATTGGAGATTAGATATGGACGTGTTTGGTAATCTAGAGAGCAAACACTTACTCATTTTGTGTTTTTGTTCATATTATCTTATAGGTATTTTGGTTGCGTTATAAATTTTATATTTTTGTGGATATTAGAGGACATGTTTGATAATCTGCACTTGATATTATATTTTTGTGGATATTAGGACACATATTTTTTTGTGGATATTAGGAGATGTGTTTGGTAATCCGCAGTTGATATTGTATTTTTGCGAATATTATGAGACATTTCGACTGTGGTGTTTATGAAAATGAACAGATTTTTATATGGATTTGTAATAGATATTTTATTGAACAGGTTAGTAAAATGTGCAAGGAATTTTTAGTGAGAAGAAAATTTGAAAATTGAAAATATTACCCTCATTTTAATTTTTTTTTAAGTATTATTAGTGACAAACAAAAAAACCCGTCACTATTAGTTTTTAAACAACATGACGAATAATTCTGTCACATTTGCTAAATATTTTGTCGCTAAATTGAAATATTTGGCGACAAAATGATTTGTCATTGAAGAATTTTTTTTTGTGCTCATTTTAGTGACGAATTTTTTTGTCACCTTAAACTATATCATTGGTGAGGATAAATTTCGTCACTAAAACCTCGATCTTCATATTTGGTGACGAAATATTTCGTGGCCAAATCAATTAAAATAAAATATTATCTAATTCTAATGACGAAATTGATGTTGTAAAGGACGAAAAATGCAACATTTAGAGATGAAAATTTTCGTCGCCAAAAATGAAAAATAGGCAACGAAACAATTTTTTATCACCAGCTACTTAAGAGATTACTTTGGTGATGAAAATTTGATGTTTAGAGAAATGAGTTTCTTACCAAATACTTTTTTTTTTGTTGTAGTGTCTAGCCCAATTCTTTAATTGGCCTAGCTTGGGGTGGCTGACTCGGTCTAACCCAACTCTTTGTTTGACCTGCATCAGAGCAATTCATTGGTTTAGGCCAAGTACATTAGCTGAACCAGCCCAAGCCTTGCTCCAACATATTGACCCTCGTCAAATACTATTCTTATCACATTTGTATCCTATATTAAACTTGTTATCTTGTTTATCAACATACAATATTAGAATATTAAATTCCCCAACTAAGAGTCAATTTGGGAAGCTAGTTAAAAGTTAGTTTTTAATTTTTAATCTATTTTGAATTACATCAATTCTGATACTTTTATTCATAAAATGATAAAAAAAAAAATTCAAAAAATTAATTTTTAATCAACTTCTCAAATCACCCCTAAAGTATTGGTGGGGGTTTGCCTTTTTCAAAAACTTTTCTATGAAGTGAGAAAAATGAGTTGCATATGAAAATGATTTTTTTAAATTGTATAAAAAGACATAAAAGATTTATTTGTATTTTTTTTAAATGAATTTTTAATTATTTTATTTTATTATTATTATTTTAATTTTTTAACTTTTTCCTAATTAAAAAATTAACTTCCCAAATAACCCCACCACATACACAGGCCATCTTTAATTTAGGGTATTGTATCCTTCGAGTGAATTTGGAGAGTGGGCTGATTTTTTTTGATTTTTTAATTATTTTAATTTAGGATTAAAAGGTTTGTTTGGCTTGATTTTTTTGCGAGTTTATAAAAAAAAAATAAAATAATTATAAATTTTTATTTTATTAACTATTTTAACTTATTTTATCCTTTTATAAATTTTAACCTAAAAAATTAAATTTTAACCTTTGCCAAACAACTCATTATTATTATATCCACAATGAATAAACCAAGTGGTTCCCATCTATTTGTTTCCGTCTCCATTAAGACTTCCCCAGGTCGAACCTGTATCTCTCTCTCAACTTTCTCACTCTCAACTCTCTCTCCCTCTCTGCTGAATTCAACTCAACCATGACAAATTGCTGTGTGATCTTCTGCGAAATCTTGATCGCAATCTTGCTCCCTCCTGTCGGCGTCTGCATCAGGCATGGCTGCTGCAGCGTAAGCCCCTTCCCCCCTCTCTCCTCTCTCTCTCTCTCTCTCTCTCTCTATATATATATATATATACACACACACATATGTATATTTATGCATGTATAAATTGTGGATTGTAGGTTGAGTTCTTCATATGCTTGGTATTGACGATCTTAGGTTACATTCCTGGAATAGTTTACGCTCTCTATGCGATCCTCTGCGTCGATCGCGATATGACTCGCGGCGACTACCGTCCACTCGCCTAGTCTCTCTCTCTCTCTCTCTCTCTCTCTCTCTCTCTCTCAAAATCTGTGTGTGTTTAGCTGTAATCTTATGGTATTATACTATGGCCCTATGTGTGAAATCAATTTGCTTGTGTCTGAACTCTTGCTATTTGAGTTGATTGAATCTCTCTGATTTAATTCGATTCTTCTCTTATTATTTCAAATGCGTATGTATATACATTTTGGAGTGATTTGGTATGAATTATATGCGATTAAATGAAAGTTTGTGATGATATGTTAGATTAATTTTTGGAAATTACTCAGGATGTGTTGGTTTCTTTTTATATTTGTTTGCTTGCTCAATCATTCAAATCCAAAGTGTTCCACCCCTTCATGAACCACCACGTGGCGTTCCCCAGGACCAAAAAATTACTTCTCCATCTCCACCCTGCTAAACAATCTTGTTAGGCTCGAAAAGTCTGAAGTACACATCTTTTTTGGGTGCATATATTATCCTAAAGGAAAATGTTTGAGGCCACAAAATCAGTGGCTCAAATGATTCAAAACTATTAAAATGATGTCATTTTGTGTCATTTTATGTCTAAAATGACGTCGTTTTGACAGTTTTGAACCATTTGAGCCACTGATTTTGTGGCCCTCTAGCATTGCTGTATCTTAAATTATTGTTGCTTCCGTCCCAAAATAATAGTCCATTTTAGGAAATTTAACCTTTTTTTTAATAGTATAATTATTATACTTTAAAAAATTAATTTTTTCAAAATAATTGTCCCTTTTAGCAAATTTAACTTTTTTTGATAGTACAATTATTGTACTTTAAAAAAATTAATTTTCTAAAATTACTCTTTGATAGTACATTTTTTTGGAGAATATCAAGGTCATAATTATATTTTTTATGTTGTTAATGAATTTAAAAAAATGACAAAATAAGAAATTTATATTATTTTTGTACTTGATTTTTAAAAATGGACTAATATTTTGGAACAATGAAAAATAAAATAAGAGACTAATATTTTGGAAGGGAGGGAGTATCATTTTAGTTATATGTAATTATGAGTTGTAATGTCATTTACCCGACCTCTTTAGGTTAATTTAGGCAAGGTTTGATATGGATTTTTTTGACTATTTTAGTCACTAAAAGATAAAATAAAAATCAATAACACAAAATGTCACGTTCAAATCATAATTTTTTTTTTTTTTTCATAAAAGTCAAAAAATTTAAAAAGTTTATTCTAAACAAGACTTTTTAATCTTAGGTTAAAATAGTTAAAAAGTTAACTCACATCCCAAACAAAAGCTTATTGGTTTAGTTTGGGGACTTACGTGTAAATTTTAATAGATAGACTTATTGTTTAATAGGTCATATAATAATTAATGATCAAACAACATTAAAAAAAGTTACTAATTGTTAATTTTTAGTGACAATTTAAAAAAATTTCCAAAAAATTTCACCAATTATAAGTTTTAACGATAATTTGAAAAAAAAACACCACAAAAAAGTAATCATTTTTCAACTTTCAACGACAGTTTGAAAAAAAAAAATCACAAAAAAATGTTACTAATTGTAAATTTTGAACACAACTTATAAAATTGTGACAAAAAAAAAAATCAATAATGGTCAATTGTGTGACATTTTTTCAACGATATATGTAAAAAAAATATTTTTACCAACGATTTTAATTGAATTTATTTTTAGTAAGGTTTGATAGAAATCAAGTTCAACTATTAGAATTTATTGATAATTTATCTATTTATTTTTGGGTTTTCAAATCATCAGTTCGTTAGAATTTGATTAGGCATCTAAACCGAACTAAACCGACAATCGAACCTATATATGTATATATACTAGGTTGGTTGGTGTGCTTGCACGGCAAGTTGGCACAATATTTTTTTTTTTTAATTAAAATTTGTTTTTTTGATTTTAAGATAAGTGTTTTTTTTAATGGAAATATAGTGGAATGATTATTTGGTAGAGGTTAAAGAAAAATAATTATATAACACTTATTCTTTTAGAGATATGTACTATAGCATTATTTATAATAAGAATGCAAATATATAAAAATAGTAATAACAACTTAAACTAATAGTTGTTATGATTTCTAATTTAATTTTTTATTTTTTATTTATATGCAAAACATGGCAAATTTCAAAAATAATTGTATTGATTTCTTGAGATTTTATTTGTTAATATTTAATTGTGTCAACTAAAATAGTCAATTCTCATAAAATTAAATATTCATAGTTTAATTTGTTAAAATGGTCAAATTCTAAGATTTTTCTTTGTAATTTCCCTGAAAATAAGTACAAATTTATGGGGGAAAAAAAACAAATCTATTTGATTTGATTTTTTAAAATTAGTGTTTAGATGAATTTTTGTTTATTTTGTAGTGAATTAGGCCCATGCAAGGCACACGTGGCTTGTAACGTTTTTTTTTTTTTTTTTGTTAATTTGATTTTTTGGTGGAGATTGAAGAAGAATAATTTCATTTCAATTCAATGGCAGTTATCTTTCATTTCAATTAATTAAATATTATTTGAAATTATTATTATGAAAAAGATTATGCTTTTCAGTAGAAAATTAAACAAATTGAATCATTTATATTATAGGTTTGTGAAGCATATTATTTATTTAAAAAAATAAACTTAATTTGACATGTGTAACCCCTAATTAGGTCCTGATTGTTTGTTTTGGCAAAATTAACTTAACTTTTATCATTGGAATTACTCTCAAGATTAAATGATTTGGAAAAAAAAATAAATTTGAGGCTCATAATTTATCATATTATTATGAGTAAATTATAATACTTTCAAACAAAAAAATGTAAAAAAAAAAAAAAAAAATTTAAAAGGGGGAGGGAAAAAAAATTGAATACCACATGTTGTAAATACCACCACATAATGCACAAAGCCACAACATATTGTAAGAGGAGTTAAGTTTAAGCCCACTAAATTAATTAGGCCCAATAATCCAAGGTTGATGGTTCCAAATTTATCGCAAGTCCAAGACTGGCGGGACCAGATTTATCACCATCAAACGGGCTAAATGGCTCTAAGCCTCGAAAGGGTTTGGATCCACGAACCTAGAGACTTACTCGGGCCCGGACTCGAAAGGGTATTAAGCAAGCCTAGAGGTCCGAGGCACTTGGACTCGAAAGGGTTCGAATCCATGAACCTAGAGGTCCGAAACACTTGGCTTCGAACGGATTCAGACGCAATCTAGAAGTCACTCCGTTAATGAGTCCCAGAACACTTGCGGGCTCGGAGCTTTCCGGGATCTACGCACCAGAACCATGGGCGTAATGGAGTTCGAACAAAGGACCCGATCCCGAGGACGGTGAGTGGAGATAAATTCACTCTTCGGTTAAACTAGCCTATAGAGAGAATTATTGTAAAAAGGGTTTAAGTACTACTTATTCTTATTCCTTATTTTTGTGAGAGATTTCTGTAAGAGTAAGGCATTTATTGTTGAGTGAGGCTCAATAGATAAGAGTAAGCCCCCGGGAGCGAATCTGCAGTCAAGTTGTGGCGAACATGATTGGGTGCAGCTCTCGTAGGTAGGGCTCCGCTGGTCCCTAATCTGTTTGTTTTGCTTTTTCTCTTTTGTTTGTCTTTTAACTTTCTGATGTACCAAAAAACAATAAATAAATAACTATCAGTATGGCTAAAGTAGTAAATTTAAATAATTAAAGCTATCAAAACTTTATGACAAAAAACCTTGAAAAACAAACAAAATTACAAGAAGCCCTACCAACATATAACTGTCGTATTGTTAATGCAAAAAGGACAAAGAAGTAATTTAACACAAAACTATGCTCTATTGTGCTTCTCATTAGCTGAATGTGGATCCCTTCCTGGCAAAACAACGTTGACCCTCAATAGAAGGGTAAAAGCAGTACAAAAAAGCAAGCCTTCCGTACCGAAGCACCGTTTATATATATAGATATAGAAACAAAAAAGAAAAAAAAGACAAAATAGAGAATTAAAAGCCAAGAGCAAAATAAGAAATTAACCCTTACATAATTGACCCAAAACCTTACATAATTTCTAAAAACCCTTCACTCGAGGTTATTCCACCAACTAATAAAGGACAAAATAAAAAATAGAAATACTAGTTAGTGGTAAAATAGGGGAAAAAAAAGTACAATCCACCAAAAAAAAAAATTCACTCAAGGTCATTCCACCAATTAATAAAGGACAAAATAAAAAATAAAAATACTAGTTAAGGGTAAAATAGGGAAAAAAAAGTACAATCCACCAAAAAGAACGAGATTTCATTCCATCAATTAATAAAGGACAACAAAAAATAGAAATACTAGTTAAGGGTAAAATACGGAAAAAAAGGTACAATCCGCCAAAAAGAACGAGATTTCATTCCACCAATTAATAAAGGACAAAATAAAAAATAAAAATACTAGTTAAGGGTAAAATAGGAAAAAAAAATGGTACAATCCACCAAAAAGAACGAGATGTCATTCCACCAATTAATAAAGGACAAAATAAAAAAATAGAAATACTAGTTAAGGGCAAAATAGAGAAAAAAAAAGTGCAATCCACCAAAAAGAACGAGATTTCATTCCACCAATTAATAAAGGACAAAATAAAAAAATAAAAATACTAGTTAAGGGTAAAATAGGGAGGGGGGGATGGTACAATATCCACCAAAAATTTTCCATGGAAAAAAAAAAGAAGGTACAATCCACCAAGAATTTTCCATGGAAAAACAAAGTACAATATGTAAGAAATTAATGTACGTGTAATTATAATAATAATGCGGAATTGAACTTTGTAGGATCTTGAATTCAATACAACTCAAGAATAAAACGAACATAACTTTGTCAGCCATTGAATTAGAGAAATTGAGAAAATACCCTAAATAATTGAACCTTGAATTCTTGGCTTACCTTCTTTTCTCTATCTTTCTTTGTCAGTCGAAACAATTTGAAAAGGCTGTGAGGTTCACACACTTCACAAGGTTAGTCTTTGCATAATGCAAACTAACTTGATTAGTGATTATTGATCGTGCTTTAGCAAGCTATGTCCAAAATCTATTGACAAGAGAACGACTTTCCGTGCTGCTATTAGATGTGCACACTTAAGGTAATAGGTTGAACCTTACTCACTAGAAGAAAATACAAAATACAAGTATATGAGCTGGCTATGAAACATTGACACATCAAAATAGGTGCAATAGCTGTGTTAGATATTTATGGGACAGGGATAGGAACATGGACATAGACATGGACATGGTGGGGACACATATAGGATATGCCACATGACGTGTCTGTTTTTATAATAATTTTTCCAGGGGACACAACAGGGACACCCAGGGTCTTAATTTAATTTTTTGAAGCTAATTTTGGGGGTTATATTATAAAGCTTGGAAGTTGGAAACATGACAGTTGAATTTTAAAATATAGATAAAGAACTCATATCAAACTATTAACAATGCAATATAGATCTAACCACAAATGCGAAATTGAGAAACTAGCTTCTAATGATCTTTGGAGCGTAACGCAAAAATATATCTAGTCTCTAGATAATTTGCATTTTTTTTTTATTTTATATATATGTTAAATTAGTGATGGTTTTCATTAAATTTAGTTGTTTGTGAATGCAATATTTACATACATGGAAAACAAAAATATATAAAACAATTACATTTTTTTTGTCGTATTCTCGCTGTGTGACCGTGTCTGTGTTCTGATTTTTTTGAAATTGTCATGTCTCGTGTTCTTGTGCGTATCTGTATCTGTATCCATGCTTACTAGTGAGCTAGTGTCCAATTGATTTCCAAATATATATGAAAAGGTGAACCGTGCTTCCTAGTGAGCTAGTTTCCAACTGACTTACAAATATATATGAAAATTTTAATGTTCCAATGGAGCTATGAACAACAATACCTTCTTGTAGGAGGATACAAAACACCACTCTGAATTTCTTTGTCTGTAATATATGAAGCAAGGCTACACAAAAAAATTATATTAGCAAAAGTTAGCTTATATTGGGTTTAACACCATGCAAACATTTTTCATCCTCTATCAAAAATTGAACCAATAACTATATAATTTAATCAACAATAAATAAGCAAGTATAAACCAATAATTACAGATACAAGTCTGGCAGAAGATGGATGCACCTCTAGCCCCAACACTCATTTTATAGCACTCAAAAGGACTCTTTTAGACCCGACACACCAAACAAACATAAAAGGCTATGTTAGAACAAAGAACGAAGTGGTCAAATTGTGTAACATATACCATTCAGAAACTGCTTGCGACATTCCATCTGAAATCAAACGAGCACCTGAGAGAAGAGCTCCCATCCCAATCTTGAATCAAGTCAAAAAGGTTTACGATAGTAGTCATGAAAAACTAAACACAATATATCCGTGACATGAACATTAGCACTAACCCCGGAAATAGATACATGTTATTTGCCTGATTTACATGATCCACTTTTTCATTCCCTGACAGCAAGTATATGATTGGCAAAGGTCAGAGTAATTGGATAACACACTGAGGAAGACAGGTATATAGAAACTATAGTACTGTTGATTGCATTGGCTACATAACGAGAAAGCAGAGTGAGACCAATTAATTTATTGATACTGTGCAAAAAGACTCCACAACAATTAGCACCAATATAAAGAAACCATACCAAGGTCAACATTTTGGAAGGGCTCCGGGTTGCAAAAACTAATATTTTCTCCAGCATGATTGAAAGCATCAACAGCTGTGCATTCAGCTATTCCAGTTGACATGGAAAGACAATGTTCAATAGAGAAATAGTGCATTCCACAAATAAAATACAGATAATTTAGAAGGCTTGAAAGAAAAACCATTCATCGTCGGATTTGACATCGCAAAAATCGCATGGCCTTAAGCACCTGATTTATCAAAGAAGACAAACACTTTACCAAGCTCAAAAAGAGGATACACTTTGCCATTGTTGTGCTTAGTGCCTTGCAGCTAGATACTAAGTGGAGAATAGTTTTTCAAACATAGCCAGCCAAAGTTATTTATCAAGTAATAGGTACTTCAGAATGAGATTTACATATACAGTAATGGTAATTTAGGCCAAGTTTGGCATACACAAAATAATTCATCTTTTTATCTTTTTATCTTTTTTCCATCACATCACCTCTCTACTTTTTTGCACATTTTTTCGTAAAAAGACAAAAAGTGCACTTATTTAGGTCATCCCGAACAACCCCTTAATTATAAAAAAAAGCCAAAATTGTGCATGAAAGGATTAGTAACTTGAGGAAAAAACACCCATAAAAGTAAAGTAAACAAAGTGTTGTTAAACACAAGAGAATAGTTAAAAAGAACGAGGGTTGATGAAGTAAGAAAGAATGTAATTGCCATGGATTTAACTGAGGTATTGCTCTATAGAGAGCATTTTGGAAAAATATTCTTGTAGTCAATTCCAAGAGGTTGAAATTAGGTCATTGTTGAGTTGAGCCAAGTGGATTTAACTAATAGTGATGACAGCAAATGACATCTTGATGAGGTATGCTCCTTTATCCTAATAATAAATAATTGTAAGTTTTTTTGTAAGAATTGGATTATTTAGCAAAAGTTGGGAAAAAGTAAAATGATAATAGGGTTAATGAAGACCATCTCTAAAAGGTATTGCCTACATCTAGGAAACAAGAACAAACAAACTTGCAAAGCAAAGGAGTTCCCCTGTTGGGGTGTTGGTGAATGTTAATGTATTTTCTCCAACTAATACCATTTATCAACAACTAACCAAATAAATAGTATAGAACAACATGCCTTTCCAAATAAACTAAGCCAACTTCACTGGTTCATTATGCTTCATTTGAAAGTAATGAAGGACAAAGCAAACTTAAGGGGCTGCCCACCTACTCATCAAAGACACCGCCAACTCCAGACAAACCAAGAAGTACATGAGGCTTGACTTTTTTAACCTAAACAAAATCCATTCCCCGCAATTAGTTTTTCTAAATTATGAAAGCATACACAATGTTCTGAAAGATAACAACAAACATCCTTGAGCCAATTGCACGTACCCAAGAAGCAAGCTAAACAACCAAAGGTTTCTTTTCCACACAATATCAATCTATATCAGCCTTGCATCAACATAGGCAGCCAAAACACACTCCAGTAATATTTACCACTTTAACGAGATTTGCTCCCTCCCTAAGTCCCAAACCTTCGATCTCCCCAGGGGCTTTAGCAAATGGTGCAACTGCTGGATCAACACCCTTCCTTTCCATTGTAATGAGACCCCGCATTTAAACCAGTACTTCTCAAAAAAAGATGAATCAAAAGTCAAATGGGTGATTCCCTGAATATGTAAATGAAACGATAAAGTTCATATTGCCATATTATGAGTTTTACTTCTCATTCCAATGCAGATTCATTCCCACGATTCATTCAGTTACATGCAGATAAGTAATTGATTATCATTACTTTGTAAAAAAGGTTAAATTTAGTTGATAACACTGAAAAAAAATTAAAAAATTTCCTTTAAAAATATGTTCAAACATATGTTCTCCACATTTTATTACAAGATAAATACCCAGTAACTCATAATAAAGGCTAATATGGTAATTGACATTAAGAACAGAAAAGTTAGAGAGCAAGTAATATCTATAGAACCACACATCTTTGTTAAGTAGGAAAAACAGAGAATTTGCTTCAGCTCCTGCCATTCTTGAAACAGCCTATGCAGCCATGTTAAAAACACCAAGCCCTGCACTGAAAGACAGAAAAAGTCAGTCAATGGTCGATCTTGTGCCCTTACAGTTCAACCAGGAGTACAGCCATTACAGTTGAATTTCATCATTACCTTCTAGCTCCAACTACAACTATCTTTTGGTTCACAAAGTCAATCAATGGTCGATCTTGTGCCCTTACAGTTCCAAACAGTCCTGCCAGTGCAACACTAGCAGTTCCCCATACAACATGATGACAAGCGACAAAAATGTCATTATAATAGAGTCACTCTTAACAATCTTAAAGTACTTTGCCTTATTATATTCTTTACTATTTCCATGGAGAATAGCAGAATGCAACACCAAGTATTCACTTGTATGTCATTATTGAACATACAGAACCTTTTTTGATACTGTTGCAATCTTTCGAAAGCCCACTTCATTTGAAAATCCTGAAACTGATAACATTCGCCAAACATCAAGTAATCAGTATGATATTGGTTACACATCAAACAAGAAGTCATATTTTTGAAAGAACTAAACCTGCACAATAGCCTTGGGCCAACAGGCGAGAATTGCCTCCATAAATTCATCAACAATTGATAGATACTCCTCTCCTTCCAACCAAGGTTGCCGAAGTCCCAAATCTATCAAAGTAAAATCAAGTGAAAAATAAATCCTCACGAAGTTTGTTGGAAGAAATGGGTTTACAAGCAGTTATGTAGTCTACTTACTCTGCTTAAAGACTACAAAATATGGAGAGCGAAATAGAGTATATTCAGCATAAATGAATGTTAGGAATGGATAAGCATGAATGAATTTCAATGTTTAAAATTGTTGGAAGTCCAACCAAAGGTGTAAGCAATGAAATTTAACAAGGGAAATCCTACTTCATACAAGTAAATAGTCACTATTTTCAAATCTGAGAGGTTCATGATGTCTTTTTTACAAAATGAGAAAATTATGAAAATAATTGACAAGAAACAATTGTAAACAAGAAAATATTAGACTTGAAACCTTTGTGATGATGGAATTTAAATGGAAATCAATATTACAACACATGGAAGTATAGCCTTTTTATACAACTCCATTTGAATGATAATAATTTGGTTGTAATAAGTAGTCTTTATATGTACGCTTATGTACAGTCAGATGACCACATGATTGTTTCCATAATTCCATGGTTTCTATTTTCAGTGCATTTTTGTTTCTAGTTGCTTTAGGTAAGCTCATCCCAAAAAACAAAGATATATATGCAGGTACATATCTAAAGAGGTGATTCTTATTTACATCTCTAGTTTTGTTAGACTTTAACTTCATGTTCTGTTGGATCTAAATATGAATTCACAGCATAAAGAGTAATATTAAATAATTAAATCTTAGAAGTTTTATCCATGTTAAAGTTTATTCTAAATACTAATTATGATTCTCTTTCGAAAGCACCTCTGGATCTGCAATTAGCACCCTCAACAAAATGAAGTGCTTAATTCTATCAGGATTCAATGTCTTCTAGTTGAATTTAAGTTAAGAGAAATGAAAAATATACAAAGTGCTACATGCACTTCTATATTAGTTTGATTATATAATCTTTTTCAAAAAAAAATTGTATTGTTGCTTTCATCAGCAAAGACTTTAGCAGTTCTGTCGAAACCCATTTCAAAGTCACTGAATGTTCCTACATCATAATTTTTAATATAAAGTCATACTAAGACAGTCAAATATGGCCTAGGACAGGTTGCCTGACGAATCAAGTGTTAAGTAATTTTTGGAATGCATTAGATTGTAGACGTCCTTGAAACGCCCCGGGAGGAACGAGTCCCCCGTTCCGTCCAATATTGGGCTCACTACAGTTCAGGACTCTTAATTTGTCACGGTTCTAAATCTGAACCAAAGAGTCCAAATCCGGCAAATCGTTTTGAGAAAACAGATTTTGAAAGAAGTGCCAAACATGGACTGCTTTGCCAGATACAGAGTCGCCACCTAAATATTTTATTTTGGGAAAATTTAGGAAACCCTGACTCGTTTGCCTAAGGCCACGTGTCCGTCATCACCAAAGTTGAGACCACTACGAACCGGTCTAGGTCAGGGTGGAAGATCTTGTTCATCAATGTGCAAAAGGTGGCGGGTGCATTGGTGAGGCCAAAGGGCATTACTAAGAATTCATAAGAACCATAGCGAGTTGTGCAAGCAGTCTTTGGCTCATCACCTTCCGCAATTTGTACTTGATAGTACCCCGACCTTAGATTAAGCATAATAAAGAACTTTGCATGCCCAAGTTGGTCAAATAGATCGGCAATCAAAGGAATAGGATATTTGTTCTTGATGTTTACCTTGTTGAGAGCTCGGTAGTTGATGCATAGTCGCAATGATCCATCGTGCTTCTTTTGAAACAACACCAGTGATCCATAAGGTGCCTTTGATGGTTGGATGAAGCCCGCATCCAGTAAGTCTTTCAATTTTCTCCTTAGTTACTCTAGCTCCGGTGGAGACATCCGATAAGTTGCCATTACTGGTGATTTGGCATCTGGTTCCAACTCGATTTTATGGTCCACCTCCTTCCTAGGTGGAAGTCTCTTAGGTAACTCAGGTGGCATGATGTCTTTGTACTCCACTAGCACCTCGACAATCTCCTTTGGTGGCTCTGTTGGAGTGTTTTCCTTCTCTCCTCCTTCGCTGCGGAGGGTAGCTAGATAGGTGATCTCTCCCTTCTTGAAGCCCTTTTTGACTTGCATTGCGGAGAGTACCTTCTTGTCCAAACTTGCCTTGGCCACTGTGGAGACCATGCATGGACCACCCTCGAGAATGCATACGGAGATATAACATAGGAGGGGCACCACATTGAACTGTCACAGAAACTCCATGCCTAGCACAATGTTGAAGTCGTCAAGTGGTGCTACGGAGAAGTCCACCTTCCCTTGCCAAGTCCCAAAGTGTAACTCTACCCTTCAAGCCACGCCATCAAGGGGTTTGGCTTACGCATTCACCGTCTTGAGCCAGTCTTGACCCATGTCAAGCTTCAACCCCAACCGCTTGGCTTCGGCATTCTTGATGAAGTTGTGTGATGCTCCCGTATCCATGTTTTCTGTGCATTCAAGCCTGCCAGAGGGGCAGCCACTGTAGGCACTTGAGAAGGACCCGACTCCTGTGCTTCCTCGAGTTCATGATCACTTGAGGATGTGCTAGAAGAAGAAGAAGAGGGTGGTTCTTCACTCGGAGTTTGTGTTTTAGCACCCGGTTTGCGATTTGGTGTAGCAGTGGGTCGGCGAACTCTAGCACCTTGTTGCTGGGGCTGTAAATTGTAATCGCAAATAAATTTTTTCAACAATTAAAAAAAAGATACCAGCAATTTATAAGTTGGTGAAGCACTTGTATACCCAAGTCAAATTTGGAAAGAAAGAAACAAGATAACCACCTGGGGATGAAAACATAAATTGGAAATAGTTTTGTAATAGACAAGAGACGGCAACATTGGCTTTAATGATGTTTTCTATCAAAATACATTAAACTATTACAGCATTTAATGAATTAAAATCAACATTATGATCAACTGAAAAGAAAACTACAAGATGCAATTGTATTGTGATATTTAACAATCGTTGCAACAAAATGTATTGTTTCCGTCACAATTTTTAGAATGTAAACGTGTAATCATCAGCATTATGACTAGTACTACACATTAAGTCTGATGTCTCCCTTAGAAAGTCTACTCTTTACAATGTGGATGCTTTCTTTACAGAAAGTCCACAATTTTAATGCTCTGGGCAAAAAAAGCAGTAAAAACAATTCAATTAAGAATTATTCGAACGCATCCACTGAAATTTTTTTCCGAGGAAAGAAACAAACAAACAAGATTTTCACCCGGAGAAGCAATCAATGGAAATAATATTTTTATTATATTTTCAGCTGGAGAAGCAATCAAGATTTTCCCTGTTTTATGACTGACTCACCCAAAAAAAGATTTTCCCTGTTCTATGATTCGATGTTCAATTAATAAGTACATACTTCCAACACAATTTTAAGAAATTGGGCATTTTAGGCACCAAAAGGATATTCATGGTGCACAGGAGTCAAAAGACCAGCAAATAAGAACGAAGACTGATTTGCACAGATTAAAGACGTGCAGGATACAAGGTACAGTACAACATAAAATATATAAAGACAGTATTATCATTCCCTAATTGTACTTCACCATACATACCTGTGCACGTTGAGGTCTTGGCGGTGTAGATTGTGACATATAAAATCATAGTAGTTAGAAGTCGGATACTGTTTGGCCAACCATTCTCTAAACCAAAGATAGAGACAACTGTGTTCCCTTGTCGGTCTCAACATAAACTATTACTACTACTACATATATAATCCATCGTCGCAGACCAATTGCTGAACTAGTAAAGGAGATTCCATTACAACGAACTAAGAAAAAGTGTTGTTTTCTTTCAACAGTTTATCTCATCAAGTACAATGCCTAGTTATGTCAATCTATGGGTGATATTGGTGCACCTCCATCCATAAGCACAAAGAACTAACTCTCCGATTTCTTGCTCATCCATTAGTAACTCTTACTGTCTGAATCATGTTCTTGATTGTGTCATTGTTTCATTTTGTGCTAAGCTTAAAATACTATGCAAAATAAGGCCTAAAAAGAGGTTTAAACACAAAGAGAAAAAAGGGAGCTTCAAAAAGCAAAAGTCCCTTGATCAAACATGAAGAGGGGGTCAAAATAAGTCTATTTACAGTTCAGACCAGAGTCCAAAAATACGAGCACAAGGGGCTAACAAAACATGCAAAAAGTAAGGCCAAAAGAGGGATAAAGAGGCAAGTGACAAAAGGAAGCCTCAAACAGTGAAGATCCCTTAAAAAATGTTGAAGAAGGGCTCAAAATAAGCCACTTTACAGTTTATAACCAAGCTCAAAACAGTTTACAAATAGGCCTAAAATACTATGCAAGAAAGAGGCATACAAGAGAGGTAAAGAAGCAAGTGTAAAAAGGAAGCCTCAAACAGGGAGAGGCCCTTAAACAAACATGAAAAGGAGCTCAAAATAATTCTATTTTCAGTTAGGGTTGGAGCCCAAATATGCAAGAAAGAGGAGCTAATATATTGAGCAAAAATAGGGCCAAAGAGAGGGATAGAAGACTTACCATTGAAGACCAATGCTTCAACAACTCTTGGACCACGTTTGGGAGCCCTTGACCTCTGGAAATGGCCTTGAAGCTGTTGGAATGGAGGGTGGAGGCCTTGTGCTAAGGGGTGTAGGGTAAATGGTGTAGGACTTGAGAGGTTTTGGTGCTTGGAAGAGAAGGAGAGGGAGGATCAATGCAAGAGCCTCAAAGTAATTTGTGTAACCTCTAAAACACAACTGGGGGGCCTAGATATATAGGCAAAGGAGTGGAGAAAAGGGGGGAAAATGGGGGGGAAAGGAATTCAAGTTTCCCCCCAAAAGTTGGCCCCTCCGGATACAAAATCTGGGGGGGAATAGAGGGTATATTTGTAATGTACCAGAGGTGGAGATCATGGCCAGCCGGGTATCTAAGTTGCAGGTGGTCGGCCGGCCCTCCCCATGGCCGGCCGACCACCCCAGATTGGTGGCCTCCCATGTGTGCACAACACAACCATGTGGTCAAAAACTGGAGAAAGTAAACCAGGAGAGAGAAAAGCCCACTTTTAGGAGGGGTTCAAAAGGGTCACACAGAATTATTGGCCGGCCATATGATATTGGTGGCCTCCCAGGTGTGTACAACACAAATATGTGGTTTGGGGCAAGAAAAAGTGGCCTTAGGGTGGTCAACATTGGCTTTCAAGTGAGAAAAACGGGCGACGGAGGGCGATGGAGGAATAAAACTGGTTGTCAGAGCAATTACTGGCCTCCCACCCTTCTACGACCTTCCTAACAATGAAACAAAGGTCCCTGCCAAAAATGAACTCAAACCGATGCAAAATGGAGGTTCGGGGACCGGAAGTGGTGTTCGACCACGAAGTTGGTCTCTCGAGCCACAGTGTCCCTCAAAAGGGAGCAAATACGATGTATGCCAAAAACCGGAGCAAACGGAGGTGGTTAAGCGGTCCCGAACCGAGGCACACGGCCAACGGCTCCGAAAAATCGAAAACCGGACTCCAAATGGGCAAAATGGCCTACGGCCACTGAGAGATGATCTACGAGACCTCTCTCTCCCTTCGGGAAGAGAAAACAGAGAAAACAGAGCCTGGTTCGTAAACCGAGGCAAAACATGAAAGAGTCCGGAAGTCCGGAGGCAAGGCTCACAGCCGAAACTTTGAAACCTCAGAACGAGCAAAATATGCAACATCACCAAGCGCTCAATCGGTGACGTCTGAGTCTTAAGGTCGGTCAAAAATGGGGTGTCTACATAGATCAATCCATATTTTTCTATTGCTTAATAAACAAAAAAGATCCTATGCTATCCTAGTCACTTTGGCTAAAGTGCATTACTCAATCAGGGTAATTTTATTTACATATATTACACAATCAGCACCAATGAAGATTTTTCTAAGTTTCATAGAGTTCTCAGAATCATCAGATATGAACATGTATATCAGCAAAACACTTGTATAAGGTAGATAATATTATATGTACAAGGTTGGTTGTTTAAAATATCGAGAGACTTAGGGGTTGGTTGTATGGGTGCGAGTAGCAGTAGTAGGGGTATTTTTATACTTCCGAATCTCTCTCGATGCATGTCATCTTCCTGTACCTTTAATTTCATACTGTTAAATGAAATTTTTTCTTTGCCGATCTGAATAAAAAAAAAAAAAAAAAAAAAAAAAAAAAAAAAAAAAAAAGCATGTTGCTTCAAACATGTGTATATGACGGCAAAATAATCACAGATATTGAGAAAGCGGACAACCAAATGAAGGAGATGCATGAACCTTCAATTAGCACAAAGCAACTTCACCTCTCCTCTCTGTGTGTGTGAAAAGAGAGAGAGAGAGAGAGAGAGAGAGAGAGAGAGAGAGAGAGAGAGAGGCACCCAATATTCTAGTATTCAAGGCCTATTACAATCTGTGAGAGGGATAATAATCAATTATGTTAAAGAGCAAGTGATCTGATTGAATATATTCAGTCCCAAAAATGCAGCCTTTAAACTTTTATGAAGTATGAAATAATGAGTAAAGGCAAATATTTGAAACAATAAAATATTAAATAAAGAAAAGGAACCACTGAACATAAAATAAACAGCATAAAGTCAATATAAAGACAGTCTTCAAGAAGCTTTTGATTGTTGGTACCAACATCAAGCATAACTAGAAGTATCTGTCATAGATGAACGCAGCTAGATTGGTATAGAAGAAAGCAAAATGAAACAGTAAAAAGTTAGTCCAAAACTGGATATATAATATAAGATAATAAATATCATAATTACTAGTATCTTTGAGATTAGGTGGACGAGAGACTATTGTCAGTTCTTCACGCATCTAACCTTCTATCTCACATATATGCACTTTCATCAATATAACATCCACATTGATGAAAAATAGCCAATAGAAATATGTTTTGTGAAGCATGAAAACATATCAATATAACCAACATATAAGCAAGCATAAGTAACCTTCTCTAGGTATGATACATGCAATAACAACGTGCTATGATCCATATCAAGCATGGTCAGTATTTGTGAGTCAGCCCAGTATTGATGTGTGTATTTACTTGTCAATGTGCACAGGTGTTTATGCATTGACGCACACTTGTATACCAATTTTATTTTTGTGTACACCTGTTTGTGCTATGCCTACATGAACCTGTACATAACAAAGAGAGATGAGTAGAGCATACTCTCTGTGGGTTGATACCAGCAACAGTGACATACATGTCAAGTTTTCCTGATGGGTATTCCAATTCCCTGGACCCCAAGATCACCTAGACCAAGAATGCGACTGCCAATATGTCAGAACAATCAAGTCAACCTGCAATACAGAAGAAGCCATAGACCCATGATATGTCAAGTGCAATGATGAACATAACCTTTAAGCTGCAAGGAGTGCTGAACCAATTTTCATTTCTAAGTGAGCAAAAGTGCTCATTTTGTAATGTATACATTCATTATTCACAGCAAACAACAATGCTACACTGAACCTTAGTTGCACGAAGCGGGAGAGGGAGCAGGAGTGGGAGCGTGGAATCGTAGACATTTCAAGAATCATTAGTTAGGAGCGTTTGTATAAATTTTAAATAATATATAAAAATATATTATAAGATTACATTTTTTATGGAACTATATATGTTATAAATAAATAAGAAGTATAAAAAATCATATGTTAAAATATTCTAATTATATACTTTTATTAGAATTTTTTTCATTTATTCTAAAATATTTTATTACTTTTTTATCTATTTATTCTAAAATACTTTTGTTAAAAATTATTTGTTTTATGTTATTTTCTTAAAAAAAATAGTATAATAACATTAATTCAATAAATATAATATATAAATAAATACACATAAATTTATAAAGGCAATATATAATATATAAATTAAGACAGATATATGTAATTTGGTTTGGATTGGTTTGGTTTGGTCATCTATCTTTATATCTATATAATCTAAGAAGAGAAGTAAGATCAAAGAGAGAGGAGCACAATGCCCAGCGAGAGAGAGAGAGAAGTTGTGAACCACTTGCAAAGAGAGAGAGAGAGAGAGAGAGAGAGAAAGAGAGAGACGTAGCGAAGACTAGTGAAGAGGAGAGAGAAGTCGCGATGGCCTGCGTGCAACTTGCGAAGACCAGCGAAGAGGAAGGGAGAAGTCTGCGATGGCATGTGAAGGTCTTGTGATGGCCCATGATGGAGCTCCGACTGAGAATAAGACAGATTCATGATCAGATTCGTGTTTCTTTCGCATCAAACTCACGATTCTTCTACAAATCTAAGTCAGAAGCGTAAAATCGCGCTCTTGAGGAAGAATCCTGAGCAACATGAATGATTCCTGCTACTAAGCACTGAACACATTTTTATACCTTGCTTTGTTTACCATCTGATCCGGTACAAGTACAAAGCACTCTTAATGCATCACCAACAAGTAGGTAAAAGCAAAAAAGAGAACAAAACTGGACATTAATGCATTTTAGATTTCCAAAATACCTGATGACCAGGCCAGTTATAGATCATGGACATCATTTCTCCTTTATCTTTGCACTAAAGTACATTCCCTATGGGCGTCTGAACAACCCTAAATAGTTTTGGCAAACCAATCCTACTGTGGGAGTGTATATTATTGGAGCAAAATCTTCCATGTTACCAATAAGGACATGGAGAGAAAAGCAACAACAATACAACATTGCTTCAAATTATTTCTCTCTAGCTAAAGAGAAATTATAATTAATTCTTAAATCACTTGTTGTTTACAAGCTGATAATTGCCACCAAACTTACTCGGTAGTACAAAGTCTCATTCCTATCATGTAGTCTATTCAAGATCCTCCATTTTGCTAAGGACACAAAACTATCATCTTGGCCTTGAGTATTTTTTTCAAGTGATCAATATGACACTAACAATACAAACAACAAAACATCAAGACCGTTACTTTTAGAAACAAAATATATTAGAGAAAAAGAAGAACCAGAGAGAGAGGAAGGGGGGGTGTATAATATGGAGGAGAGATCTCATCAAAGGCTACTACTAGCGATTGGGGTTACAAATAATATATAAAAAAAATCACTATCTCACATGCAAATTTTATTTATTTATTTTTATGAGAGCTCTACCTAAGAGGTGTCCTAACTCTAATAATAAACTTAAACTACAAACTCAAATTGCATGGCCACAGACAACTCAATTTTCATCTGTGTATTTTTCTTTACTTAATCAATCTAACCATGGTGTGTTCGCTGCACACTTGGATTCAATTGTAAAAGCGACTGCCAAACATAAATTAGAAAGAGCACACCCAAAAAAAGTCTAAAACCATATAGCATGCCAAGTTTGAAAACAATCTACTTCTCACCAGCCAAGGTTAAGCAGCTAGAAGCATGCTTAAGAATTTGGAGAGCCAGATATATTGCTTGATTTGGCTTATCTACACCTTCACTAAAGATTCAAGGTGTACATGTCAAGTGCTATGACTCAGACATAATGCACCAAGCATCAACATAATGTATACTCTTCTTCCCACAAAATTACGACCTTAAATTTCATTTCCAGGGTATTTTATTTTTTCATGTTCCATTAATTAACAATTCATTGTTTACTAAAACCATAGAAAAGAAACCAATTAATATAAATAGAAGTAATACTGTATTTACATTTTAAAGATCTGTTTCAAGACTCCAGTTGAGATGGAAAAATCTCCTTGCTAGAACTAAAGGAATACAAGACCTTTCAATGGCACATTAGTTTTTCCAAGACTTCTCTACTGTGTCTTTCACCTCTATTTTTTCAAATTAATCTGTGATCCTTCCTCCATTCAGAAATATATAGATTAATCAATAGTCATCAATAAAAACATTAATTCAACCTGTTTATTTTGGAAGAGAGGAATTATAAGCGTTAAATGGTGTGCTTCAAGGCCTACACCAAATACATTATGAGATCCCAAGGAGACAACGTAAATTCCATCATTGCAGCTGCATCAAATATTCTTGGTCCATCGCAAAAAAGGCCATCAAATTAAGTTTAAGAGCTGAAATCTAGCACTTCGTAGAATGTTTGAATGAAGTACAAGATCATTTTTGCTGATCTAAAAGCAAGATAAACTATATAAACCAAAACACATGGAGCACGAAAAGTGACCTATTTGGACTTGGAAACTTTTGCAAGCAGCATGATATCCCCCACAGGAATGAGATGTTTGTACAGTTGGTGTAACCAATCAAGACTCAGCAACAATCCAAGACCATACTAGAGATATGTTGTCCTGCAAACCAAACAAGTCAAGTGTTAGTTCAACTTGTTGTAACAGAGTGAGGTAGGTCACGAAGACTAGCGAAGAGGAGAGAGAAGTCGCGATAGCCTGTGTGCGACTCGTGAAGACCAGCGAGGAGGAAGGAAGAAGTCTGCGATGGCCTGTGAAGGTCTTGCGATGGCCAGCGATGGAGCTCCGACTGAGAAGAAGACAGATTCGTGATCAAATTCGCCTTTCTCTTGCATCAATATCGCGATTCTTCACTTGATATGATGAAGCTGAGTGACGAATTAGATCTTGTCAACCTTCCACTGGTGGAATGTCATGTGATTTGTTTTGTAGGCAAGGGGGCTGACAATGGATTACCTGTTTGACTGATAAAAAATTCTTGGGAGAAGTGGGGTTTAGGCGGTTATGCATACATGCCACGCAACGGAAGCTATGCTGGAGTGTTAGGGATAAATTGCTTTCCATCTTTTTCAGTTATCGGTGATCACAAAATATATGAGAAGCCTTGCCTCTATAAGTATCAAATGTATTAAAGCCAATGTAATCACAGCTGGGGATATTGAGCTCTCTCTCTCTCTCATAAAAGCCAAACACCGCACAAGGAGGATTGGGAAATGTATAAATCTTGTAATAGGTCATTATTTTGCAAAGAAAGAAAAGGAAATAGTATTTGTTGGTAATGTTTGCAATCGATGAAGAAGGTGAACAAGCAAACGGAAAACTGAAATGCTGGGTAGGTACTTTTACAGAGTGGGAGATGCCTGGAGAATTTCCTTAAGCACTTAGGCTTGAGACTTAAAACTGTGTACATTAGCTTCAACCATGACTCAACTTAGAAGGAAAGTATACAGAAATATGTGATTGGTCCATGTGTCACAAATGACAATGGAAAATGGCGTGGTGCTGATGTGTCCTGTCTTGTGTGTGTCTGCACAACAAGCACTGCTTTCCTTGTACAATCATCTTACTCTAATCTTGTCCGAAATATTTTCTTGACTATCTCCTAATGATATTCCAAAAAAAACATTGTTTGCTGCTGAGGCACTTACCAATCAGTCCTATGAACTAGACTTACCTACAGGTCGTAACTGGTAAATTTATCACTATAAAAACAAGAGACTAATAAATTTATCACTATAAATTTATTCATAAAAATAAAAGAGACTTGATAAATTTATCAATAGGACTTAATGGATAATAAGTCTCAAAAGTAAGACCTATTGATACTATCAGTCCTATTAACTAGACTTATTTACCTACAGGTCCTATCACTATGAAAACAGGAGATTGATAAATTTATCACTATAAATTTATTCATAAAAATAAGAGACTGATAAATTTATCAATAGGACTTAATGGGCAAAATGTCTCAAAAGTAGGACCTATTG